TCTGGAATTCTGGTTATTTTTAGTATTTATATATAGGGCTATAATAGAGGCTTAGATTTTAAATTGACTTGCAGCCTACACTAATATTCAATGGTGCTCAAATTTATTTTTAAATTTTAAACTATGTTTCTGAGGAAAATTTTTCTAAATTAAACGAGTTAAATTTGGAGAAATTAGACTGTTTGATTGGTTAAAAGGATACTTGGAGCCGTATGCAGAGCTCTTACCTTAACTAAAGTCGAACTTTAGCTAAAGTTAGGATTAAGGCTTTCATTTTCTACATTTGATAGTCAAATTTAAGCCTGACTTTCGTAAAGATCGATCGGTGCATACCTAAAGTTCGGCTTAAGTCAAAGTTTAGGGAAAGTACGAACGCTGCATATGGCCCTTATAGTCTTGGTTAATGATATTCAAAATCCTGAAAATTTAGAGGTTAACAGTGGCTTGTTTTAAACCAACCAATGGAAAGTGCTGAAAATAGATAGTTTGATTGGTTAAAAAGAAGCCAATAAATATTCAAAATCCAAAAACAACCAATAGGAGGTTCTGAAAGTTCAATGTATTGAATATGTTAATTAGTTATTAAAGGAAGACAAATAGAATGTGCCTAATATACGATTTCTTGATTGGTCCAATTAATGATTATGCTAATTAGATGGAAATCAACCAATAGAAAGAGCCTGACATATACAAGTCATAATTTTATTATAAGTAATGCATATTTTTGTTGTTATGTTTTTATTTTCTGTCTACAATATGGGACCATTATACAGTTTTTTTTGGTTTTTTTCGTTTTTATATAAGAATTATAATTTTTCTTGTTCATATAATTATATTTTTTAATTTTTCTATTTTCTTTAATTCTAACTTTTATATATTTTGTGATTTTTTCAGTGCTATAAGCTTCTATCAGAATATACTCTTGTTGACTAGCTTGAAATTTTGAGAGTTTTACAGTTGACAAAGACATCAATTTTCAATCTGTTATTCTGCTACATATTGGTCTGTAAATGCCGTTTAGAAATGTCATATTTTTCTTTTTCTGAAATTTTTCAATTTGAATATAAAAAAAAGCAAAAAAATCGACAGCTCAATACCTCAAAAACTCAGCATATCATTTTTGGAACTCAAACTTAAAGAATCTGGCTACATATTCTCCAAACGATCTTAGCACTAGAATGTCCTAGAAACCATGTAAGAAATTAAGACCCTAAGACAAAGCGCTAAGATCATTTCGAGATGATGCAGTCACTAGCCAATATTCAAAATGAGTGTACAAGTATAACAGATTACGTTGTCATGGATACTCCAAATATCCCTGTGCTGTTTTAGCACTCTCCAAAATTCATTATTATTATTATTATTATTGATTGCGTGTATTATGCAATAAGTTCCTAGAGATTTTACTATTATGAATTTTATTTTACCTTGTGCCTTATTTCTTGCAATTAAAGTTTATATTGTTTCCAAATTTGTTTTTTTATACGCCCACATTATAATATGGTCGTATATTGTCGTCGCCCCTGTCCGTCGGTCCGTCTGTCCACAATTGGCTTAGAGACTACTGTTTTTAAAAAACGCGTCAAAATTTGTTTGTGAACACAATAGAGAGTACAGTTTTCATCTTATTTAAATTTGGTGTTATCATTTATATTCATGAGATCTTAGACAAGTTCGAATTTAACGATCTTTTGATGAATGGTTTTTGAGTTATTGCCCTTGATTTATGAAAAACGCATCAAAATTTGTTTGTGAACACAATAGAGACTACAGTTTTCATCCAATTAAAATGAAATTTGATTTGAATATTTATAATGATGAGATCTTGGACAAGTTCAAATTTGGCTATTTTTCGATGAACAGTTTTTGAGTTATTGCCCTTGATTTATGAAGAACGCGTCAAAATTTGTTTGTGAACACACTAGAGACTACAGTTTTCATCCAATTTAAATGAAATTTGGTATGTATATTTATAATGATGAGATCTTGGTCAAGTCTGAAGTTGGCTATTTTTCGATGAATGGTTTTTGAGTTATTGCCCTTGATTTATGAAAAACGCATCAAAATTTGTTTGTGAACACAATAGAGAGTACAGTTTTCATCTTATTTAAATGAAATTTGGTATGATCATTTATAATGATGAGATCTTAGTCAAGATTGAATTTGAGTTATTGCCCTTGACTTAGTAAAAACGCATCAAAATTTGTTGGCGATAGAGGTGACAGTTTATGTCAGAATTTTATTAAATAATGTGTGTTTGTTTAAATCAACAATATCTTGCACAAATTAGATTTTTGGTATGATTTGACACAGATAGGTGATTGCCCTTGATATACTGAAAAAGTATCAGGAAAGTGGGCGTATCTTGCTAGCCAACCACTTGTTTTTCAGTTTTATACAGACATCCAAAGTTTTGCTCTTCAATCTGAGAGACTGATTTAAGGTATATGTAGCAATTTCCAGAATGGAACTATGATATCTGCATTTTTTTGCAATTGAATTGTAGCCCTATCAGTCAGCACTGAAATATTTATACAACTATTATTATTCCTTTAAAGGGATACTAGAATAAACATAAAATTTTAAACTTGGTCAAAAAGAGTATATATTCATCAGTAGATATATCTGGTGTCATAAATAACATAACAGAATCCTTATATAATCCGATAAATCCAAAAAACTTAATAAAATATGCAATTAACTATTGAAAAACACTTAATATTATGATTAAGTGTTTTTCAATAATTACTTAGTTTTATGAATTTTCTAATTTTCTAGATTTTACAGGGATTCTGTTGTAACTTTATGACACCAGGTAAGTTCACTGATGAATATATACTCATATTGACCATTCTTGAGAATTAAATTTTATGTTCATTCTAAGACGTAGTATCACTTTAATGATAAGATGGAGTAATATAGGCAGATGTTTCGGACTACATTTTCATCTGCTTCAAAACTTCATCTAGTAGAACCCCCGGAAGAAATTTCAAGCGAAATCTTTTCAAAATATATTTTTATATGAATAAAATATTTTAATGATTTGTCTAAAGTGAATTTCGGTTTCATCTGGGGGATTTCAAAGATTTTGACAGGTCGCTTTTCTAACTTATGACTTGTAACGGTACTGGAAGAACAAGACTAAAGAAACTTTCGAGAGTTCAAGATGGCGGATGGCTACACACATTTTCATTGGCTGATCGATTTATTTACATTGTTCAGTGCGTTCACAGCAACCAGCAAAACGATAAACAACTATGAAAAATTAAACATTTTATGATTTTTCCTCAGAATCTATGCAACAAAAAATGTCTGCTGGACTTGCATTCAAACTGCTGCTGTCATTCAGTGCATTGTCTCTGATTTCAGGTTCGTACTTGAGAAAGTTATCCTTCGTAGGACAGAAAAATATTTTGGTGTCTGTAAAATACAAACTTTTCTTCAGATCTGCAACAGTCAGTTCAATAATTACGTCATTAGTGACATTACATATTTAAATTTGCAGAAGTGGCAAACCCTAAATTGAAAGTATGGCAAGATAGTAACTGCTATAAGCATACTTAACTTAGTTAATGAGGCCCAATTATTCTAGTCAAGTTTGACAACAAGAAAGTGGCCCTTTGTGAACTACGAGGAGCAAAAAAAGCTTGCTAAAATTTGAAAAACAGTTATTGACTTTTTGACAACATTTTGTATGCCATTTTAATGACTTCACAGAGTCAAAAGTTAGTAAAGCACTTGGCACTGACAAATTTTTTGTTCTGGATGCCAGTATATATGTAGAGATAATACCTTCAGATTTTTCAACCCGGTTTCCCCGTGTCAGTGATGTAGGTAAGAGGGACTGACATGGAAAAAGCATTTAGTCGTTTGGATGGGACAATAAACCGAGGCCCTGTGTGCTACAGGCTGGGCACGTTAAAGATTCCTCGACAATTAGAAATCGAAAAAGAGCAGGCTAATGCTGCTGTCCTGGCAAAATCTCCCTCATTGCACCCTGCATGGTGTTGCCCGTCTTCATTAGCCCACATGGTGTAGAAAAGTAGGACGTAAAACTCCATTCATTTCATTTCATTTTGTATGCCAGTATAGTTGCATTATTTTTAAATTTCAAATCTTCTAGGTGATATATTTGACAAAGTGTCGTATTATGAAGTGATAGAGTCCAGTCAAACCACACATCGTTTTAGACGCAGTATTTACAGTCAGGATTTTAATACAGACGGGCATGAAGAGGAATATATCAAAGAATATACACTCCATGCTTTTAACAGGTAGGATATCATGGGTTACCGCTTGAAACCTGGTATCAAGATATATGACGCGAAATTACTTATCGAGAAAAACACAAAAAACTATTTGTACGCCTATTTTGTTAAAATTTTTTTTATTATTTTTTTTACTGCTATACGTGGTTTTCATTCTTGGAAAATACAAACCTTGTATAACAATTTGAGATCTCCGGCCTATTGAACCAAAAACTCGTATAATAATACAGTATACGAGGTTTTTCATTTTCATCCGCAGAAAAGGAACATTGAACCTTGTATAATAATATATTTTACAAGGTTTTAAAGCTGACTGTTTATATACGTGTTATTTAATTAGTGGTTTTTGAGTTATTTACAATCAAGCTAAGAATACGAGGTTTTGATCACGAGATCCGCGCTTTTACGAGCTTTCAAACGGTATCAAAAAGTCAAAATGACCAAATATGGCATATATATACGAGGTTTCAAGCGGTCACCCACAATATTATAACTTGCATGGATATTCGATGTTGCTGCAAAAATGTAAATTTTATCTATTGATATTATCTTTTGATGTAAGCTTACCCATTATATTGGATTCTGTAATAAAATCTAGCTTGACTTACCATAAAATAGTTTATTCAAATATTTCATCTCATTTTTTGACAAATTTAAAAATGAAATCTTGGACAAATCAAAGTGTTCATGAATAGTGTATGGGTTTTGATTCATTACTAATTTGGTGTTTACAGAACGTTTGTGCTGATATTAAAACCTAGAACTGAGATATTTGCTCCACAATTTAAACTGGTTGTAGTCCATGCTGACGGCAGTGAAAATATTGTTTCTTTTAAAGAAGGGGACTTTTACTCTGGTACTGTTGAAGGTAAGTCATACTAGGGTGGGTCCATAATTATTGAGGGGGGTGGATATTGTGGGGGCTGGCTAAAAATTTCTGTTAAAGAACCCTAAAAAAAATTGTAGATTATGAAAAAAGTAGCTTTTTAAGCCTGGGCGATATTGGTTCAAGTTGATATCACGATATTAAGTATTAATATATCACGATATGGGTATATATCACGATATTTTTGAAGTTTATTTTTTACTGGTTTTTGAAAGAAAATTATGATCTAGAAATTTTAAATGTAACATAAAACAATAAATATCTCTAAAAACACCCCAGTCTTTAATATCATGAAAAAAACATCTGTTTCAACTATTAAGTTACTTGTTAAAATTATGTAGATGATCTTATCTGGACAAAAATTTTGTGATATATCATGATAATTACCATAAATCACAATTTGGTGATATTTAGGTATTTTTTAATCAGGCGATATTATAAACAATATAAATTCCTATACCGGTATTTATCGTGATACCAACCGGTATATCGCCCAGCTCTACAGCTTTTGATTTCTGGCTTATAAACACTTTAGAGGACAAAATTCATGACAGATTTGAAAGAAATTAGTTATCATTGAAAAAAGAGCCCTATTGAAAACCAAAATTAAAGCCCCCCCCCCTTTGTAATGTCTGCTAAGTCATATTTTAACATGAAGAATTATTTTAGGAAAGAAATGACTGCCTGAAAATACCCTTTCTTAGGTATGTGGTCCGACCGGTTTCGTTCTGGTTAGAACTCTTCAGGGGCAACGAGGCAAAAGTGAAAACTTCACCTCTATATAACTATAAATTCGGAGGTGCATTGCAGAGGCGTCTCTGCTGAAATGCAGAGACGTTTTGGGTCAGTTACGGAGGCGAACTGACAAAATGCAGAGGCGTCTCTGCAATATGTCGGAGAATCAAAACGCTCCATTTACATAAGACTAAAAGAACATCGTGCCGACATTCGGCTGAACAGATTCACACCAGTCAGTAAACACTTCAATAAATCCGGCCATGGCCCAGATCCTTTCTTTGTCCATCTAATCAGAATCATAAACCATGACCCTGACCTCGATACGACCACCAAAGAAAGACGCAGAACCGAATTATATTGGAGCCACGAGCTCAAAACTATGACACCACTAGGCATAAATGAATTCATTTAGCTTCCCTACCATCACTGGTCACCTTAAGTCATATTATTATAATGATTGTCAATTATAGGTGAGGAGAATTCAGAAGTACATGGATATTTTGATGATGATAATTTTGTGGGTACTATTGATGTTGACGGTCAGTTGTACGTTATTGAGGTCAGTTAGTACCATATATTCTATAGTATTGTCTTGCTATAAACATCTTGATATTAACTATTTTATCATTACAATCACTGTGATGTAGCAAATGAGGTACTTTCACTCAATTAAAAATGGATTTCCTTATTTTTTCAGTGTTAAATTAAACAAACTATTTGATTAATTGGTGTTTTCTAATGAATTATCATGTATTCTTAATCATATCATTATGTTCTTATTGCATATAATTAAGAGGTTTAACCAAACATAAATGTCCATGTATATACAGTCTGGATAAACAAAAAAAATCCCTTTGACCTTTCTTGATCGGTCACTCATTGGAATTCTGTTGGTAATTCTCTTCTAATTTAGCTAATTATGAATTAATTGTGAGACATGTGAGACAAACTGGTATTTTTCCAAGTCATAAGAACACCTCTACTTTCTATTCATATAAGTATTAGCATTTTCATTTTCATAAATGAAAATAAGGGAACCCATCTTTAAAGAATTATGTTGAGTTGGTAACAAAATTTACTCATTGCACACTGCATTACAATTTAATTATCGGAAACTTGGCATCATATTGAATATAAAGCACAATACAATCACCCACTGTATAGGGCTATCTTTATTGAAAAATTTTTTTTATGGAAGAGTTAAATTTGGTGCTGTATTCGCTTTCAGGCTGCTTGGCGTCATCTCCATGGTAACACGCAATCTGAAGGATCAGATCAAATGTTAATGTATAGAGGTCAAGATATAAAATGGCCTGGTGGACAAAAAAATGGGTATGGAAAGCTAAGATTCCATATACGCGTCATGCGGACATAAATGGCCCTTGCGGATCCATCATGCGTCAAATATGATTCCATATGTGCTTTAAACGTATGCGTTATCTTTCTTTTGACTCACAAACTTCTAGACAGATGGATGCTTTGGTGCATAAAAAAGACAGGGAATCCCCACAAAATACGTCACATTTGGGAGATCTCCGCGCAGAAAGGCGTCCGGATGCATCAAAAATCACTACACCCGACGATTTTTTTTTGACGCATGATGGAGACCATTTGACGGATACCGCTTCCGCATATATGGAATCATACCCTCTTAAACCAACCATTTCAATTTTTAACGCATGACGGATCCGCATGACGCATATATGGATTCTTAGCTTAATTTCTAATTGTACACTACTTTTAGGCCCAGTTGCGGCCAATCAGGATGAAGGTTAGAGGGTATGACATTGAAAAGACTTCCACTCTATGGCCACATTGAGTTCTAAATTGAATTTTTTCTCTCAAGTCAAATATTCAAAATATGATTTTCAAGTGCATACCAGTGGTATTGAATACCTTGCCTCCTTTGGGTCCATGAATATATAAGTTTTGAAAATTTTGCACTTGAAATGAACACATTTCTCTCCAAGAAATTTCATGTGAAAATGACACACATTTTGAACTGAAAATCTCCCTCTGTAAAATCATACTTTCAAATAATTTTGTTTTCAATGGTTGGCATTTTCATCAACCCAAAGACAATCAAAGACTCTCAGCAATATTTGGAGATTAATATTTCAATTCATACAAAAATGATAGCCAAAATATGATTTAGAACTCGATGTGGCCAGAGAGTAGTCGGATTTACTAAGAAAAAAAAATGAAGACTCTATTTCATTTTCAGGAACAAATACTGTAAATCAGCCCATGTAGAAGATGATACAGAGATCCAAAAAGACAAGAGACAACCAACGGAAAGAATTCTGAGTCGTAAGAAACGAGCCACGCCCTCTAAAAATACATGTGATGTATATGCAGTGGCCGATTATAAATTCTTCAAGACTATTGGTCGAAGTGATATTTATAAAACAGCCAAATATATCGTAAGTTTTAGAGAGTTCACAACAATATACTAAGGCAGTGTGCTACAGATTGTATATCCCTTGACTGAGAAGAAATCTCTCATTGCACACAGCATGGTGTTGTCTAAGTTCATAATGTTTTGGCAAGTGAAAATAAAAAAGAACACAGTGAAATGCAAAAATTCCCTGAATGTACACAGCATGGTGTTGTCTATGCTCATAATGTTTTGACATTAAATTGAATTTCACTACATCTCCTCAAGGTTGACGGAGCCGCGGTGGCTCAGTGAGATAGACGTTTGCTCGCTAATCTGAAGGTCCAGGGTTCAATCCCGGCATAGGTTGAGATAATACCTTTGGATTTTTCAACCCGCTTTCCCCCTGTCAGTGATACAGGTAAGAGGGGCTGACATGGAAAAAGCGTCTAGTTGTTCAGATGGGACAATAAACCAAGGCCCCGTGTGCTACAGGCTGTGCACGTTAAAGATCCCTCGACAGTTGGAAATCGAAAAAGAGCAGGCTAATGCTAATGCGTTGCCCGACTTCATTAGCCCACTTGGTGCAGAAAAGTAGGACGTAAAACTCCATTCATTTCATTTCATTTTCCTCAAGGTCGACGTCATTAAGAACACAGATACCTTGTATCGTAAAATAAATTGGGAAGGTTCCAATGATTTTACTGGTCTAGGTGTTGAAATTGGTCTGATCAAAATACATGACAGCTACACTGATACTGTTTCACTACACTATAATAAAGACAAGAGTGATTGGGAGACTACAAATTTGTTAAAGGTAGGATTGGGCTGCCTTGTGTTCTCTTAAAAGATGGTTAAGAGCTGCAAGGGAAGAGTAGGATGTTGGGGTAGTGCTGGGTATTGCCAAACAATGTAACAATATGATCTGTATCATATGGGTTAGATAAATACAATAGAGCAATTTCAGAAATAATTGGTGTTGATCAGTTTTTATATTGTAGCATATTGTCGGCACCTCTGTCCATCCGTCAACATTTGCTTGTAAACGCTCTAAAAACTAGATTTTTTGATGGAATCACATGAAATTCGGTATGTGTATACATGTTCATAAAACGAAGATCAAGTTCGAATTTGAGCTATTTTCGACTGTTAGAAGCAGAGTTATTGCCCTTGCCCCAAAATCTTGAATATTTACCAACCGCATGCTGTGGTGGGCGTATATGGCTGTGGTCCACTATCTTTCTGAGAGGAACTGCTTTTATGACAAGCCCTTAAGTCGTTATCCTTCTAGACCAATGACTAGTTGGTAGACAGGATCCTCAAGAACCTAAGTTGTTATCCTTTTACAATACAGATGATTGACCAATGACTTGTTGGTAGACAGGATCCTCAAGAACCTAAGTTGTTATCCTTTTACAATACAGATGATTGACCAATGACTAGTTGGTAGACAGGATCCCCAAGAACCTAAGTTGTTATCCTTTTACAATACAGATGATTGACCAATGACTTGTTGGTAGACAGGATCCTCATGAACCTAAGTTGTTATCCTTTTACAAACAGATGATTGACCAATGACTTGTTGGTAGACAGGATCCTCAAGAACCTAAGTTGTTATCCTTTTACAATACAGATGATTGACCAATGACTTGTTGGTAGACAGGATCCTCAAGAACCTAAGTTGTTATCCTTTTACAATACAGATGATTGACCAATAAATATTTACATATATATTTACAATTTAATATATTTACAATTATATATATCTTTACAATTCAATATATTTACAATTATATATATTTACATATATATTTACAAAATTATAAATATTTACATATATATTTAAGATTCAATATATTTACAATAATATATATATTTACAATTCTTTATATTTACATATATATTTACAAAATTATAAATATTTACATATATATTTACAATTTAATATATTTACAATTATATATATATTTACAATTATATATATTTACATATATATTTACAATTTAATATATTTACAATTATATATATAATATATATTTACAATTTGGTGTATATATTCTGGTATATAATTATATATCATATTTTTACAAATTTATACAAAAAAAACAGAAAAAAAAAGAAGTGTGTTATATTCCATAATATTGTCTTGTGTTTTGTTATATGTGCTCTTTGCTTCTATATGTCGTTCTAATCTTATGACTAATTGGTAGACAGGGTCCTCAAGAACCTCAGTTATTATCTTTGTAAAATATGTATTTTTACCAAGGTCCAGTGAGATGGGCTCATTAAAAACCATGTTGTATATGGATGGCCTTACTGTATCATTTATTTAAATTTCTAGGTATTTGGTCGTGATTTGACCATGACATCATATTGTTTAGGTCATCTATTTACTCATGAAAGCTTCACAGACAATGTTCTGGGTCTAGCATACATAGCTTCCAGTAGAATAGGCAGTGCCGGTGGAATATGCTCTCCAAGTAAGTAATTTTGGAGCAGGGTTGAATTAGGGGCTTACCTAGAGGTCGCGATTTCAGTCCAAGCACAGGTCAATTTAATACCTGTAGATATTTCAGCTTGGTTTTCCCTGTCAGTGATGCTAGTACTACATGGGCGCAGATCATGGGGGGGACAGGGGTACACGTCCCCCCGTCAGAAAACCTGGGGGAGTCATGATATCCTGTGTCCCCCCCACAAATGGTCAAGCTTGGTTGAGAAGAGTGTCTGTATTGTGGGCACAATTTGGCATCCGAGAACATCAAAGTGCCGAAATTTTGCGCCTATGGCCCACTATTCGAACAATTTATGGTCGAGTGACGAGCAAATTTAATCAAAAATTATTTTCACCTAGGTGTAAATTCAAGGTTTTTAATTATTTATTCCTTGAATTAGCACCTAGGTGAAAATTAACACCACCAGCTCAACTGAAACGTTCTCATGCCGCTATACTCTGCAATCGAATTCACACCTACGGTCCCACCACCTTTTTAAAAAATCCTGCATACGCCACTGGTCCCCCCCCCCCCGCATTGAAAAAGCGATCTGCGCCCCTGTAGTACTAGGGCAAGATGGGAGCAATAAATCAAGATCCTGCATGTTAAAGAACTCTTAGATGGTCATTTTCACATGAATTTTTTTTCCTTTTTGTCTCTTTTTCCCCATCTGTTCTCTTGTGACTCCATTTCCCAAACTTGTCAACAATTGTTGTTGAAATACCATCTCAAATAATCTGAAGATCATTTTCTTCTTATTTTCTTTCAGCCACGGTGGCTCAGTGAGTAAGACGCTTGCTCGCTAACCTGAAGGTCCAGGGTTCAATCCCGGCATAGGTCGAGATAATACCTTTGGATTTTTCAACCCGGTTTCCCCCTGTCAGTGATGCAGGTATGAGGGGCTGACATGGAAAAAGCGTCTAGTCGTTCGGATGGGACAATAAACCGAGGCCCCGTGTGCTACAGACTGTGCACGTTAAAGACGTGACAGTTGGAAATCGAAAAAGAGCAGGCTAATGCCGCTGTCCTGGCAAAATTTCCCTCATTGTACCCTGGCGTTGTCCGTCTTCATTAGCCCACATGGTGCAGAAAAGAAGGACGTAAAACTCCATTCATTTCATTTCTTTTTTTTAGCACGTGTATCAGCAGGGTTTGAAACAGCTTTCAACACAGCTTTCACATCCACTTCTAATGCCAATGGAGATACAGTACTTAAAGAACAGTCAGACTTAGTCACAGCCCATGAGATTGGCCACAATTGGGGCAGTGAACATGATCCTGATACCTCAGAGTGTGCCCCATCCTCTTTCTCTGGCGACGGAAAATATCTGATGTACCCATTTTCTGTAGCCGGTTACGATTCAAACAATGATAAATTCTCTCCCTGCAGTAAGAGATGGGTCAGTGAAGTTTTAGCAGCCAAAGCTGATTTTTGCTTTAAAGGTAAGTTTTCATACGCCCACATGTTAATGTGGGCATATATAGCTGTCGCCCCTGTCCGTCTGTCTGTCTATCTGTCCGTCTGTCTATCTGTCCGTCTGTCTGTCCACAATATTGTAGACACGATAGAGAGCTGGTTTCTTGATGGATTTTGACGAAACTTGGTGTGAGTGTTTTTTATCACCCAAGGATGAACCCTATTGAAATTCAGACGAATCGAAAAATATTTACTATGAGTTATTGCCCTTGTTCTTGAATTGTTTGTGGACACGATATAGTGCTGGTTTCTTGATGGATTTTGACGAAACTTAGTGTGAGTGTTTGTAATCACCCAAGGATGAACCCTATTGAAAATCAGACGAATCAAAAAATATTTTCTATGAGTTATTGCCCTTGTTCTTGAATTGTTTGTGGACACAATAGGGAGCTGGTTTCTTGATACATTTTGACAAAACTTGGTGTGAGTATTTGTAATCACCCAAGGATGAACCCTATTGAAATTCAGACGAATCGAAAAATATTTACTATGAGTTATTGCCCTTGTTCTTGAATTGTTTCTGGACACAAGAGAGAGCTGGTTTCTTGATAGAATTTGACGAAACTTAGTGTGAGTGTTTGTAATCACCCAAGGATGAACCCTATTGAAATTCAGACGAATCGAAAAATATTTACTATGAGTTATTGCCCTTGTTCTTGAATTGTGGACATGAGAGAGAGCCGGTTTCTTGATTGATTTTGATGAAACTTAGTGTGAGTGTTTGTAATCACCCAAAGATAAACCCTGTCTGTCTGTCTGTCTGATTGATTAAATGAAACTAGACATGTTAAATTAATCCCACTTGAATAAAAAAGCTGTAAACAAAACCCATGAAATATGAAAATTTCACTCTCAGCAACATTCATTTACTGATAACTCTTGTTAACCTCCCGGACAAATTCGCTGCCATTACAAATGTGGGCGTATTACGATGGCATCGCTATTTTTTTAAATTCGTAAGATCGATAGTCACAGAGCACGTCATGAATTCTTTTTTCTTGTCAAAATGCATTGAAGTCACAGGTCAAACATCATTTCTGAAGAGTCAACATAGTTATTGATATTTGTACTTTTTGTTTTTCTATTTTTTTAACGTCTGTTATTGTTTTCAGAGCCTACCCCAGTAACAGATTGTGGAAACGGTAAATTAGACGCAGGAGAGGAATGTGATGCAGGGTTCCTGGGAAAGTATGGTCAGGATGAATGCTGTAACACGCGCTGCCAGTTAAAACAAGGTGCAATCTGCAGGTAAGATCTATGAAATGAAATGAATGGAGTTTTACGTCCTACTTTTCTGCACCATGTGAGCTAATGAAGACGGGCAACACCATGCAGGGTGAGATGAGGGAAATTTTGCCAGGACAGCGGCATTAGCCTGCTCTTTTTCGATTTCCAACTGCCGAGGAATCTTTAACGTCCACAGCCTGTAGCACACAGGGCCTCGGTTTATTGTCCCATCTGAACAACTAGACGCTTTTTCCATGTCAGCCCCTCTTACCTGCATCACTGACAGGGGGAAACCGGGTTGAAAAATCCGTAGGTATTATCTCGACATATGCCGGGATTGAACCCTGGACCTTCAGGTTAGCGAGCAAGCGTCTAACTCACTGAGCCACCGCGGCTCCCCCAGGTAAGATCTAGGCAAGGGTTTCAAGTTTGGTACTTTACAAAGGGACTGGAAAAAGAGTGTAGTCCCATGTGCTAAGGTTAAAGTAGTAAAAGAGTTGGCTAACGTTTTGTTAATAAATTGAAAATCTTAAAAAGTTGTTAAGCACAGGATATTTAAAGTGATACTACATCTTAGAATGAACATAAAATTTAAGTTCTCGAAATGGTCAATATGAGTATATATTCATCAGTGAACTTACCTGGTGTCATAAAGTTACAACAGAATCCCTGTCAAATCTAGAAAATTGGAAAATTCATAAAACTAAGTAATTATTTAAAAACGCTTAATCTTAATATTAAGTGTTTTTCAATAGTTAATTGCATTTTTATGGATAATTACTAAGTTTTTTGGATTTATTGGATTATATAAGGATCCTGTTATGTTATTTATGACACCAGGTATATCTACTGATGAATATATGCTCTGATTGGCCAAGTTTAAAATTCTTAAATTTTATGTTCATTCTAAGACGTAGTATCACTTTAAGTTCCTTTTTATTAGTCCAATTATGGACATAAAAGTAGGGTGTAAAACTCCACTAGTTATCCATTTCAGTCCATATAACCATGAGTGCTGTGCAAGTACATGCGATATGGCGCAGGTGGGAACGATATGTAGAAATGATACCTATACATCTTGTAAGAAGATTGGATATTGTACAGGGAACAGCTTGGAATGTCCAACAGAGGAAGATGCTGATGATGATACTGACTGTAGAGATGAGTAAGTTTCATTTCTTATCTTTAGTTCAAAGTGGCAGAAAGGGTGTGACCACTAGTGTTGAAACGGTTAGTGAATTTTACGAACCGGGTCATCGAAGGCAAAAACCGTTTGTTATCCGAATAATTACTAAAGATTATAAAAGGAGTCAAAAACCGCGGCTTGCGGCAGTAACTCACCGTTAACTAAACTAGAGTAAGTGTAAATGAATACCCAGGAAGATTTTGGCTAGTTCCCCGTGAATTGCAAGTACAAATCGACAGATACCAAACAACCCATAGAAGCGTCTGCTTTAATGTAAGATTACGAGCGGGTCTGACAGTGTTCAGGCGCTACCCGTGAAATACTACCCGAAATCGATTAACTGATTAACCGTTTCAACACTAGTGACCACGGATAAGTCATCAATTCATGTTATTCTGGTTGACCCTGAGTCCTTGAGAACCTTAGTTCTTCTATCTTTTTTAAAGATAGGTTCCCTTATTTTCATTTATGAAAATGAAAATGCTAATACTTGCTAATAGAAAGTAGAGATCCTAATGACTTGGAAAAATACCAGTTTGTCTCACATGTCCATAATTAATTCATAATTAGCTAAATTAGATGAGAATTACCAATGAGTGACCGATTAAGAAAGGTCGAAAAGTCTTTTTATGTTTATCCAGACTGTACATACATGGTCATTTATGATTGGTTAAAACTTTTAATTATATGCAATAAGAACATAATGATATGATTAAGAATACATGATAATTCATTATAAACACCAATTAATGAAATAGTTTGCTTAATTTGACACTGAAAAAATAAGGAAACCCATCTTTAATGAAAATTTGCTCAATTACAGTTATCTGTATTACTTTTTGGAAGAAATAAATAACTAAATTTATTGGTGTTTTCTGTTGCTTGTCAGATTATATGCAACCTTGGTTCTCTTGGTTAGAAAGAGAAGTTTATGTCAGATTTAAATCATGAAAAGTGCTTTTTATAGGCCCTCATGAAATGGGGGCGTATATTGTTGTCACCCATGTCCGTTGGTCCGTTCGTCCACAATTGCTCGTAAACACTCTATAAGGCACAATTCTTGAGTCAAAATCTCCCGACTTTTCACCCAATCTCCAGATTTTTCAAGGCAAATCATTTTTTTCCTGACCTATACACATGTATGTTCTTGACTGATTTTGACAAAACTGGTTATGGTCGTTTGTAATCACCCAAGGATGAACCCTATTGAAAATCAGAAAAATCAAAAAATATTTAGTATGAGTTATTGCCCTTGTTCTTGAAGCGCTCGTAAACACTCAAGAAGGTGCAATTCTTGATGGATTTTGATGAAACTTGGTGAGAGTGTTTGTTATCACCCAAGGATGAACCCTATTTAAAATTAGAAAGATCTAGAAATAATTAGTATGAGTTATTGCCCTTGTTCTTGAAAACTCGTTCAATTTTAGCTTGTTAACACTCTAGAAGGCACAAATCTGGACAGATTTTGATATTATTCAGTATCGCTCTAAAGAGTTCAAAAGAAGTGTATGTCTGAAGGTTGAATATTTCATACTGGTAATTGTTACTGTACTGCTAAATATTTTTATTTAAAATCAAAGCTGCCAGTGGGCGTATATTACCTTGCCTGGCAAGCTATCTTTAAATATTGTTTATGTATTATTTTAGTGGTATTTGTCGAGGTGGAAGGTGTCTGGGACTCTGTGAGCGAAATCGACTAACTCCTTGTCTCTGTGAAGAAGGTACCTATATTCTAATGAAACTAATGGTGAAAACAGACTGTTTTTGTATGCCACATGAAATGTGGTTAAACCCTATTGAAAATCAGAAAAATTGAAAATATTTAGTATGAGTTATTGCCCTTGTTCTTGAAAACGCATTCAATTTTTAGCTTGTAAACACTCTAGAAGGGAGTTTCAGGCTTTATAAGAAAACCTAAAGTGACTTTACAATAGCTCTTAGTTTTCTCAGGTTGTTATTGCAAAATTTCTTTCATTGAACACGTTTTTCATTGGCCCATTTGCATTAGGCCATACAAAATAAATAGTCTGTTTTACAGGCCCAAAAATGCCTGATTGTTGCCTTAATATTAAATGTACATTAAATTTGTGGTAATAAATAATAAATGCTTTGGCTCGCTCCGATTTATTCCAGTTGAAAAACTAATCGCTTATGAATAATAAATAATAAATTCGCCCTCTCGTCCCGATTTTAGAAAAAAAAGGCCTGTAAAACAAGACTATTTATTTTGTATGGCCTTAGAAAAGTTGAACATACATAAAGTCAATTTGTCATTTTCTTTAATTATAACATTTTTTTTTGCAGTGGATACATCTTGCAATAGATGTTGCCGTGGAAACGCAACTGGTAATGTCTGTGTTCGTGCTGACCCTCTCACTGCTTTACCAGACGGCAGACCTTGTGTTCAAGGCTACTGTGCTTCTGTAAGTCATTTTGTTTCTCTGTGACAAGTTTGTGCAAATATTGTGGTCTTTATTTTAATTTGACAATCTTTTGATGAACAGTTTTTGAGTTACTGCCCTTGACTTAGGAAAAAGCGTCAAAATTTGTTTGTGAACACAATAGAGACAACAGTTTTCAACTGATTTTAATGAAATTTGGTGTGATAATTTATATTGATGAGATCTTGGTCAAGTTTGAATTTGATGATTTTTCAATTAACGGTTTTTGAGTTATTGCCCTTGACGTAGGAAAAACGCGTCAAAATTTGTTTGTGAACACATTAGAGACTACAATTTTTTATTGATTTTAATGAAACATGGTGTGATCATATATATAGATGCGATAATTTGATGTATTTGGGTTATTGATATTGATTTTTAAAAATTTGGTGGAATTACTCAGCATAAATAACTGGTAGTAAATATATATATCATTAAATTCAAACTAATAAAATTTCTTTAACATGAGAAAATTCATACTTTAGTCATTAAGAACTGTTTTATCATTTCTTGACAGCTGCCAGTGGGCGTATGTTACCTTGTCTTTAATAACTCATTCCCATTCTATATTTTAGGGTTCTTGTAAGAAAGCAGCCCAGAGTTTGGTTGAGAGGTTGTTTGATTTTATAGAGAGTATCACTTTTGATAAAATTTGTAAGTTATAATTACAGCAATAATCACAATTTTATAATTAACACTAATAGGGCTTGTAGTAAAGAGGTTGTATAGCTTATATAAGGAATGAATGTGGATC